TGATTTGGGTGGATTGAGTTTAGCCTTGGCTATCCTAGTACAAAACATTGGTCCATGTAGAGCCGGATCAAAGCCGGATAAAGGAACTAGCAATTAAATAAATGCTTGTACTCGTAATTAACAAAATTGTATTTTTCCTTTTGACGGAGCGAGTGAGTTGCTGGGATGCGTACTTATTTACGTACGTGCGCGCATGTGTGTCTTTTCATCACTGTTTGCTTGTGGCATTGCACTGTGTGTACTATGCATACATGCATGCATGCTGCTTGAGCGCATTTGCGTGAGATGGTGGTGGTTGCGTATATTATACGTATTGTGATGCGGTTGCGGCAGCGTACAAGATTCGTGCGACGTGAGCAAACGGTTTATTGATTACGAGCTTATGCATGCGTGTGTGTGTGGGTAATCGAGAGAGTTTGCGAATTTGAATTTAACGAAAATGGAGAAAGAGTCCGATATTGGCATAGAGTCAATTGGACATTTGAGATAGATGCTTTCGAGCAAGAATGGAGAAAGAGTCCGATATTGGCACAGAGCCAATTGGACATTTGAGAAAGATGCTTTCGAGCAAGAATGGAGAAAGAGTCCGATATTGGCATAGAGTCAATTGGACATTTGAGATAGATGCTTTCGAGCAAAAATAGAGAAAGAGTCCGATATTGGCATAAAGCCAATTGGACATTTGAGATGTATGCTTTCGTGCACAAATCGTGAAAGAGTCCGATATTGGCTTAAAATCAAGTGGACATTTGAGAAGGCCTTTTTCGAGCAAAAGGGGGAAAGAGTCCAATAATAGGGTGAAATCAGTTGGGAATTTCGCAAAGTTGAGAAAGAAATAAGCATTTGGAGAAAAAAATGTTTGATGGTATTGCACGAGCAGTTGAACGTATGTATGTATGTACATACATACATGTGTATGTGTATAAATGTATGTTTGTATTACTCAACAGCTGTAAGAGTGTGTGTACTTTCAACAGCAAAATACGAGTAGCCATTAATGCTGATCGTGGTGAAATACTATTTAATTTGCGAATCGAGTTGCTGAAGTTTTGATAGCTGCTTATTTTTGAGATATTAAATAGAAAAGTTAATTGCGCTAGCCAAGCAGAAGTAAATGAGTGTATTTGTTAGAGAAAATTGGTATTATTTTCTACTAGCTTGTATTTTTTCTTTTTTGTTCTATCTAGCACAAAATGGCAGGGGTGCTTGAAAGTCTTTGCAAGTCGATTGCACGTATTGAAGAGTACACGCGGCAGGCAGAGTTTGTTGATGCCACTTTGGAGCAGGTGAAGGTCCGTGCCGAAAGGTTAGAGAAGTTCTATGAGCGGTTCATCGAAGCGCATCAAAAGCTGATGGAGCGTGACTCCAAGAAGGCGAACACTTATGATCATGTTGTAGCAGTAGTGGAAGCAAATTATTTTTCAGCACAATCGGCACTTTCAACTAAAGTGAATGCCTTAACTCCGATTCTGGTGTCAGCGCCAATATTACAGCCACCATTAGCAGTGCAGGTAAACCTGCCATACCAACAACATGACATGAAAAATACGTGGGGGGATTTTGATGGGACACTAACCAAATGGTCGGGGTTTCGTGACCGATTTATGGCTGCAATCCATAACAATGAGAATGTGTCACCTGCATTCAAGTTTTCGTACTTGAAAAAATCATTGGTTGGTAAAGCGGCTCGGACTTTGGGTGAATGGCAACTTACCGATGACAACTATGTTGAAGCATGGGCTAGGCTGAAGCAGTTATACGACAGGAAATATCCTATCTGTCGTGAGCATTTGCGCCAACTGTTACGGCTGCCAACTATTGAGGGTGCTCCTCGACCTAATGATCTGCAACGTATGTCGAATGTGACACATGAGGTGCTGCGCCAGTTACGTGCCCAGGGGATCCCAGTTGAAAGTTGGGATATGATGGTTGTTCATATACTCCACGAACGTCTAGATCCTGAGACTAGTAAGCAGTGGGAGCTCCAGCGACTCACGGAGACACCCACTGTCAAGCAAATACTGGAGTTTTTAGACCGTCAGGCAGCAGCATTGGCTAATGTGGTGGATGTGCATCGGACGCGCACATCCGATGCCCGTAGTGTATCAGGTAATAGAAGAGAATTAAGTAACAGCGGAAGAGGAAATAGGAGCAAGGTTTTTAGCAGTGATTCCGACAAGAAAGCGAGTCAGTGTATAGCATGCGAGCGCGACCATGCACTTTGGTCATGCGATGAATTCAAGGCACTCAGTCTTCGCGCACGAGAAGAGTTGATCAGAAGGTACAATCTTTGCCGGAACTGTTTCAAACGAGGTCATGGTGCCGACAATTGTTACCAAGGTGCGTGTGTCCGTTGCCCAGGTCAGATGAAGCATAATAGTATGTTGTGCCCCATGAAGGAAGTTTCGAAGCAGGCGCTCGTGATTAAAGAGTCCGGTCATCGTCGTAGCAACGACAACAACAAAGTTGGCAGGGGTCCGGTTAAACGGCAACGAAATGCTAAGGTTGAACATGTTTGCACTGCACAGGGCGGACATTCTGGGGAAGTTGACGACGTTGAGGAAGAGATCAGGAAAGTTGACAAGCAATTGAGTCTCTTGGATAAGCAAGAGCAATTGTTAAAGAAACGGAAATTAATGTTTGAGAAAGTAAATAATTGTAATGACAACGAAGAAAAAGAAATAAATTTATTCAAGAATTACGGCAGATCGTTTGACTTTAATCTGGATGTGAGACCCGCTCTGTTACCTACGGTGATGGTTAGGTTGGAGGCGGATGGTCAACACCTCGGCCCTGTTCGAGCATTGCTAGATTGTGGGGCGCAGCCGAATTTGATTGCATCTAGCCTTTACATTAAATATAAGTTTTCTGTCTTGCCAGCTAGCCGCAAGATGGTTGGTATTGAAGGGAAGTCTTTCGGTGTGAGTCAGCGCGCAGTCCTGAAGGTGAAGCCGTGGTTCAACGCCGGCAGCTATGTTGAAGAAGAATTTTGGGTATTACCGAGAGATAACAATTGGGAGCCTGTACTACCAGATGTCTTAGGCCGAGCAGAGTCTGTGACGGACTCATCGTTGCCATTAGCCGATCCAGAGTATTGGAAGCCCGGGAAAGTACAGGTAGTTCTGAACGTTAAGGTGTTTGCAAAGATTCTTACTGCAGTACTGCCCAGCAAGCATGAGGGGACGACACTGCTTGAAACTTGTTTCGGTGTGGTTGTCTGTGGTGCCCAAGGAGCACCGGTTTGTAAAGAGATAGGCGCAGAAGTTTCATATATACACTGTACTAGCGTTGAAGAGCTTGGAGATTTGGTAAAGAGATTCTGGAAGCTGGATGAGATCGGTAGTTGTCCCATGCGAACGGAAGAAGAAGAGAAGGTTGAACAATTATTTTTAAACACGTATTCAAGAGATGGCACCGGAAGATTTACAGTTTTAATACCATTAAAGACAGACATCTGCGACATCGGAAGCTCCAGGCTGGTTGCACTACGTCGTTTCCTGTCACTAGAAAAAAGATTAAATCAGGATCCTGCGTTAAAAAAGCGGTATGTCACCTTCATGAGGGAGTACGAGCAGTTAGGGCATATGGAGCAAGTGTCTGGAGCAGCTGCAATAGGTGGAATGGTGTATTACATTCCTCATCACTGCGTTACTAAGAAGTTCAGAGTTGTATTTGATGCTAGCTGCCGTACCGACAAAGGAGTTTCCCTTAACGAAGTGCAGATGCTTGGTGAAAAACTACAACGAGACTTGGCAGAAATAGTTATGCGATTCCGAAGGCACAAAGTTGCAGTCATTGGGGACATTAAAATGATGTTCCGACAAGTTCTAGTAAGCAGAGATCAGTGGGACTTACAACGGATTTTCTGGAGGGAAAGAGACTGTGATCCTTTAAGAGAATACTGGTTGAAAGTAGTTACTTACGGGATGACTTCTTCAGCTTTTAATGCAGTACGGGCGGTGGTACAGTGTGCACGAGATGCTAGTATGGAATTTCCAGAGGCCTCTAAAATCATCGAAGGTGACCTTTATATGGATGATTGTATAACTGGTGCGGGAAGTGAAAGTCAAGCGATAAAGATGGCGAAAGAAGTGCAGCATGTACTAGCAGGCGGAGGCTTTGAAATGAAGAAGTGGAAGTCGAACTCCAAGAGATTGATCAAAGAAATGCTATCAGAGAATGAAGAGGAGAGTATTTTCGTAGACGAAGAGAAGGCATCAGTGCTAGGGCTGAAGTGGAATATAGCTCGAGACATGTTTTCGTTTGTGGTAAAGACCCCAGAGATTGAAGGAGTGGTTACTAAGAGGAAGATTCTAGGTTGTGTGGCGCAACTTTACGATCCAAACGGATTTATCTCTCCAGTTACAATTCTGGGGAAGATTATCATACAGGATCTATGGCGTATCGGAGTAGAATGGGATGTACCAGTATCCAAAGAGATGGAAGACAGATTCCGTATATACTGGGAAGAGATAAAATACCTTGAAGAGTTTACGTTAGAGAGATGGATTGGCACGGGTGGTGGTGGAAAGGTTGAATTGCACGGGTTCTCAGATGCGTCAACGGTGGCATATGGTGCGGCGATTTATGTACGTGTTGAGAACGACGGCATGGAGGTAAAGAGCACACTACTAGTATCTAAGTCACGTGTCGCACCGATGAAAACTGTTTCGGTGCCAAGGCTAGAGTTAGCAGCTGCGGAGCTTCTGTCCCGTTTACTGGTCGATGTAACGAGGGCGATGGAACTTTCGGGGGTGAGTTACACGTTGTGGACGGACTCACAGGTAGTGCTTCACTGGATTGGTAAAATACCGCGATGTTTGAAAACTTTTGTTGCGAACCGAGTTGCATCTATACAGACGAATACTGATGTTAAGAGGTGGAGATATATTAATACAAGGGACAATCCAGCTGACATGTTGAGCCGTGGTATGAAGCCTTCAGAGATTATTCACAGTAAACTATGGATACAAGGCCCGCCGTGGTTAAAATATAATTCTGAACGTTGGCCTGACTGTGTGTTTGTGCCAAACACGGTTGCGGAGGCTGAGAGTGAGTTTAAGACCTGCGTTGTAGCAGAAGTAGATGAACCGCTGATGATAACGCGAAGGGCAACAAAGGATAGAGTGTCCTTGATAGAGTACGTTGACAAATTGGAGAGAGCCGTGAACGTAGTGGCGTATTTATTGAAATTCATTTCGAATATAAAAACGCATTCAGTACATAAGAGGAAGAAGAGGGGAGAACATATAAGCATGTCACCGACTACTGAGCAAAGAACAAAGGCCATGTGGTTTCTACTGAATCAGGAACAAAAGAAGTTTTACAAGAAAGAGATTGGTTGTCTAGAAGCTGGTAATAGTATTCCTGATAAAAGCAGGATTGAATCTCTCAAGCCAGAGCTGAAAGATGGGTTGCTCAGAGTGCACGGCAGGTTGAAGAATGCGAGTTTGGACGAGAATATGCGACATCCAGTCATAATTCCTGATGGGTCAAGGCTGGCATGGTTCATTATGGACCATGCACATCGCGAGACGAAGCACGGTGGAGTGCAAGTTATGATGCAATTCATACGGCAAAAATACTGGATCCCACGACTGCGTGGTTCGCTAAGAAGTTTTATACATAAATGTAT